AGGCCGACAAGGCCGTACAATTTCTCACGTATACGACATATGTCTACAAGCCTCTAAGAATACATAAATGTCATAAAGGTCGGGATAGAGTCCCGCCATACCAAACAATAGACGTCTAAATCATACTAACCAAACAAGCAACTCCGAAGCAAATGGAGCGCACCAACACCTTCGCTGAGCTGATAGCCTAATAGGAGGACTGTCAACCTATCAATCGGGACCTGCGGGCATGAAACGCAGCGTCCCCAGGCAAAAGGGACGTCAGTACAAATAAAGTACCGAGTATGTAAGGTAGGAAAGCATAGACAAGAACAGTAATGTAAAGAGAGATAGAGGAGCTACAACCTGTAACATCTGAGTGCCACTGGGGACTACCGACATGAAATGCATAATACATATATATACATAAACTTTTAAAAACATTCGCCTCTGTGGGCATCATCATCATCATATCGTACCCGGCCTCAAAGAGGACTCGGTAAAAATGTACCCGGCCATCATAAGGCTCGGTAGAATCATACCCGGCCACGTGGAGCTCGGTAAACCCAACTGATCAGTGGTTGCACAATAGGTGCCATACCCGGCCGTCTATAGCGCGGCTCGGTAGAGTAAAATAGATACATATATATAATGCATGCTCGACTAATGGAATCACGTTCTAAACCTTTTAAAGTGACTTAAGAACATTATGGACATACATACCCTCAATATGAACTTCACTAGAACTTACGGATCATACATACTTTCTTAGAATAACTTTGCATGGAAAGAACAACATGGACAACCTTAGTTGCTAGGATTAGATTCACTATGAAATAGCGTATTCATTTCACTTTAGATCATGCCAAAAGAAAGAAGGAAGTGCCTTAACATACCTGTTCCCGGAATTATTTGAACGAATCTGCTTCTGCGAAATATGGACGAAACTCTGCTTTGAAACTCTCGAAATTCATAAACGAACTTGGTAGCTCTTGAAATTGAAACGTTGGCTAGCATTGAATTGGTGAACGAAAAAAATGATTCTGCTTTTTGGTTGAAATCAGAATTGGCTAAAACTTTGTAGCTCTTTCACGTTTTTGGTTTAATATAAAATGTAAAAGTTTTCTTTTCACGTTTTTGCTGGTTCAAGGCAGAATGTATTGGCTTTTTGATCTTGAAAGAAGTGCTTACCCATTCACCACGCCAAATTGAAACGAAATGGATCCTCTGAAAGCTTATGTTCTTTAACATTTTTTATTTCAAAACAAGAAATGAAATGAAGCCAAAGACTTTTTAAAATGAAGCTAACGTCAGATTCTTGGATATTCAAGGCTTTCCCACTAAATGATATGGATATACTTTACAAGTCTTTAAGACTAGATAACATGCTTGGTTAGTTTATTTAATAGCCATCTGGCAAAATGACTACTTAGTCATTTTCAACTTTGTGGCTTCTTGCCACGTGGGGTGGTGGGATAATTTATTATCCACTTATTAGTTAACTGGGTAATGTCCTGTTACCCGGTAATTAATTAATTACCCGCATAATTTAAAAATTATCACAAATTACTTAAAATTCTATTTATTTTTAAAATACTCCTTATATACTTTATATATTATACTACCGTGGTCATATGGTGCCTTACATGGTACTAGTTCATAATTATCGGATATTATCGCTCGACCCGTATTTTATGCCAAATTGGCCATTCCCAATGAAACTCATTTTCGTTAATCCGTGTATCCCTTTATCCTTCTTATGTATCGCTTGTTATAAATAACGCAAATACGTTAACGTCAAAATGAGCTCATCCCCGAGTCTACGTCAATTAACTGAAGACGAAATTTTAACGTAGGAAAAAAAAACCGCGAGATATAACAAAAAGGGGGCGCGACATTTAGTATATACATCTTTCAACACAAAACGTATTTAAATTAATCAAATTTTCTAGGAAGGACTCGGAATATGATAAAGAGGAACTTGAGCCAATCATAAATTGCAACTTACGGGAACATCATGGAATTCGATTCTACGAGAGAAGTTTAGCCAAAATACCTTGTTTGAGCTTTTCTTAATTTACTACAACGTCCAAAATACTCCGAGAAACTTCAATCTATAGGAAGATGATATGATCGAATCAAAATTAGAAGGATTATCATGATCTAAGTCTCTTGGGAATTTCGTCAAACACCTATAATGAAAAATTGAATACAAGGCTATACAATGGTAATCCTTTCCTCCCTCAACCAATTTCAACAAGAATCTACCCGGAATAGTTCAACAACCCTACATACTACCCCCTATTGGCACATGCATGGCCCATCTCCAATTCCACAACTTACTTTAACCCATAACAATTGCATTAAGGTTTTAGAACAAGATCTTACCCGGATAGTTGATGGCCTAGTGAGTGATTCCCATGAATCTTCAAGATTGGGCAAGAATTGATGAGCAAAGGGGTTGGGGATTCCTTCTCTCTCTCTCTAAGATACTCCCCTCTCTGCGACGAATTGTGCTGCCCGCGAAATCATTATGCGGTCGCATAATGGACCGCATAATGATCTTCAAAAGTTGGCTCAAGTTATGTTGCATTCTTTGGCCAATCTACGGTCCGCGAAGATGTTCTGCGGTCGCATAGTAGACCGCAGAAATGCCATATTCTGCAAAAAAAAAAAAAAATAAATCAACTCCCCGACGTACTGTACAACCCAAAATGTCTGTACCGCTACAATCCTCAAACACATTAGCCCACCTCGGCGCCACGAAACCCCGAGTTCTAGGTAAAATTTTATGGGGCCTTACATCCTCCCCCTCTTAGGATCATTCGTCCTCGAATGAGGGTCAAAATCAACCATCGGCATCCAAAGTGACTCAGGTCTTAACTCACACACCAGCAATTCCAAATTTGACTAACTCCCCAAATTTCCAGAAATTTCGGTAGAGTTTCCTCTATAACTAGGCATATCCACCTGTTAGAGAATCGCAGAAACTAGTCCTAACAACTTAACCATAATACAACGATGTAACACAACATGAAAACAATATCGACCAAGACGTCATAAATCTTATATTACCAAAAGGAACATCCTTAACATAAATTGTACTAGGGAAACATAATTCATATAAAGCAATTCATAGAAACAATTACATAGTTATTCAAACAAATGAGAGTACTTCTTCTTCATCTCTTCCTCGGCCTCTCAGGTGGCCTCTTCGACCTGTTGGTTTCGCCATAGCGTTTTCACGGAGGCAATCTCTTTATTTTTCAGCTTTTGGACTTGCCTATCAAGAATGACAACTGGAATCTCTTCATAAGTCAATTATTCACTAACCTCAATAGTCTCAACCGTAACAATGTAAGAAGGGAAACAATGTAAATACTGCTAGCTTCTAAAAGTGGAGTATCTTTGGAAGCTCGTTCATTACATTATGTACAATCGAAGTCGTGCAAAAGAAGGAATGGGTAGTCACACATACCTTGTATATACTGCCCAACCTCAAGCTATGCAAATGTCACGACTCCTTAGTCTACAATAAGAGAAATGATACTATCTCCTTAGTCTACAATAAGAGAAATGATACTATCGTTATCGTTTAAGCGTCGTAACTATTATATATCGACCGCAACCTATATTACGATGAAACGGACATCACCTCCCCTATTTATATGACGTCCCACAAGCTAAAAAAATCACCAAACAGCCCAAACAACATCAATAATAATTATTTTAAGCCTCCCAAAATAGTCCACCAACCAACAACATTACTAACTAGCCTTTCGATAGATATCTCACAAGTTCTAGCTTCAACGACCTAGACGCAACTTGGATAATCTTAAATACATGTAGAGTAAGAGGTTACTTACGTTTAAACAGATAGAAAAACACCAATTTGGCCTTACTTCACCATGAAATATCCTTCCAATGCTGCCACAAGAACAAGGAAGCGAAACTATCAATCAATTCGGCTTTTTCGACACTAGAATCACTTTGGAAGACTTGAAATCACCTAGGGTTGATACTAAAAACTTTAGAGAGTATTTTACAGAACTTAGCCACTTAAAACAACCTCCCACACGAGCTGGAACCACACAAAGATCAACAACAAGAAGAAGAACAGGAAACTTACTAGCACCACGGGATTCCCGACACTTGATTTGTGTTGTTTGCCCTTTATTTGGGTCTTGGATCATGAGAAAACCTTGAGTGAGAATGAGTTAAAACAGGCTTAAGGTGTCTCATATATATCAATATATCTCAACTGCTTATGTGGGCCCCATAGAGAGCTGCTTGCGCAGTCTCGAAAAAATGCGAGTATCTCTCTACTCTGACGTCGTATCGAGGAGCGGTTTAATGTGTTGGAAACTAGACTCATAGATCTTCAATTTGGTAGGTAGATTTATCTGTAATTCCAAGTAAATTTGGATAAAAGCTTAGTAACATTTGACCTAAATTTTAAGTAAAATTGTGAATGTAATTTGCCACAACTTTTGTCGACTTTTGCTTCATAACTCGTTTGACGTCAAGACTTATGATATGATTCAAGTACCTTAAAACACGACGTCCTTAGCATATTAAGAACCTCTAGTTTTACCCAAAAATACGGGTTACAACATCCTTGATTCGTTTAACTTCTAATGCTTGTTAACCACTCTTAAACACCCCTGTATCATTTAAGACCAATAGGTTTAATTTCTTATCATCTCAAAGATAATCTCTTCACGGATTTATGTCTACTAACTTACGGAGTGATCTAACGTACGCAAATATTTGTAACACCCCCCCCCCCCCCTAGGAACATTCGTCCTCGAATGTAAGGGTTTATGGGGAGTCTAACTCATCGTGGATTCTGACGGAAATCTTCGGCCGAGTTTCCCCTATAAATGGACACTAGCCAAACTTGCAAGCAGTTAAACCCAACCTATGGCCTCACAAGGCTATACAAAGCACTTTGGATGTGTACATTATCTACATATCACCATTTTGTATTAAGGAAGAGTATTCTCAAGCTATTGCTTACCTCATAGAGGCATTTCAGCTTCCATTGCGTCCTGCATTCCCCCGGCATCCTCGTTATCTTCAATCTGGAATAGGTAAGGGTATTTAGACTTCATTTTCTCTTCTTCTTCCCATGTCATTTCTTCCATATTCTTGTTCCTCCACAATACTTTGACGGAAGCTACATTCTTTGTTCTCAGCTTGCGGACTTGTCGATCTAATATTGCTATTGGCACTTCTTCAAATGGTAGATCCTCTGTAACTTCTACATCATTGATAGGGACAACCCGAGAAGGGTCTCCAATACATTTCCTCAACATTGATACACGGAATACCGGGTGGAAAAATTCCAATTCGGATGGCAATTCTAACTCATAGGCAACTTGTCCAATTCGTCGAAGAATCTTGTACGGCCCGATATACCGCAGACTCAACTTACCCTTCTTCCCAAAACGCATAACACCCTTCATCGGTGAGATCCTCAGAAAAACCCAATCACCAACCTCAAACTCCAGATCACGATGTCGGACATCGGAATAAGACTTTTGCTTGCTTTGCGCCGTCCTCAGTCGGTCTTGTATCACTTTCACCTTCTCAATGGCTTGGTGAATCAACTCTGGCCCATTAATTCTGTTTCACCGACTTCGAACCATCCAACTGGTAATCTACATCTCCTCCCGTACAGTGCCTCATACGGGGCCATTTTAATACTTGAATGGTAGCTATTATTGTAGGCGAATTCTATGAGTGGCAGATGGTCATCCCAATTCCCCTTGAAATCTAGAACACATGCTCGTAGCATATCTTCGAGTGTTTGAATGGTACGTTCGGCCTGTCCGTCAGTCTGTGGATGGAATGCAGTGCTGATATTCACTTGTGTGCCTAAATCCTTCTGAAAATACCTCCAAAAGTTAGCCGTAAATTGAGCTCCTCGGTCTGATATAATAGATACTGGCACACGATGAAGCCTAAGAATCTACTTGATATACAACCTCGCATAATCTTCATCCGTGTAAATTGTCTTAACTGGTAGAAAATGGGCAGATTTTGTAAGTTGATCAACTATCACCCAGACGGAGTCAAACTTATGATAAGAGCAAGGTAATCCAATAATGAAGTCCATATTAATCACCTCCCATTTCCATGTCGAAATCTCTATATTCTGAATCAATTCACCAGGTTTCTGATGCTCGATCTTTACTTATTGACAATTAGGACACTGGGCTACAAATTCTGCAATAGACTTCTTCATGTTATCCCAACAATATTGCTCCTTAACATCATGATACATCATTTTCGAGTCGGGATGGATGGAATATCGGGATTGATGAATCTCAATCATAATCTTCTCTCGCAACCCTACCACATTAGGCACACATAATCGGCCCTAGTATCTCAGTGCCTCATCTCCTCCGATCTCGAAAGCCGTAATCTTACGTTGCTCAATACCCTCTCTCAATCATACTAAGGTAGGATCTTCATATTGCCGTGCTTTTACCTCGGCTACCAAAGATGATTCTGGTGTATTCTGTACAGTAAGACCTCCGTCATTAGAGTCTAACAATCTGATTCTCATATTGGCCAACTGATGAAGCTCTTTAGTCAACCCTTGTCTACCTGCCTCAATGTGTACTAAGCTTCCCATTGACTTACGGCTGAGAGCGTCTGCCACAATATTGGCTTTACCGGATGGTACAATATCTCGACATCGTAGTCTTTCAATAATTCAAGCCACCTACGCCTCCTCAAATTCAACTCATTCTACTTGAAGATGTATTGTAAACTCTTGTGACCTGTGTAAATGTCAACATGGATGCCATATAAGTAGTGCACGCCATATTTTCAAAGCATATATTACTGCAACCAATTCCAAATAATGAGTCGTGTAATTCTTTTCATGTTTCTTCAATTGTCCCGATGCATAAGCAATAACCTTCCCACGTTGCATCAATATGCACCCCAAACCTATACATGAGGCATCACAATATACCACACAACCTTCTGTTCTTTCTGGGAGAGTGAGCACTGGCGGGGATGTCAATCGATTCTTTAGCTCCTGAAAACTACGTTCACAAGCGTCAGACCACTAGAACTTGGTACCTTTCTATGTTAACTTAGCCAATGGTGCTGATATAGAGGAAAACCCTTCTACAAACCGCCTATAATATCCTACTAGCCCCAGGAAGCTGCAGACTTCTGACGGTGTTGTAGGTCTCGGCTAATTCTTCACTGCATCGATCTTCTGAGTGTCGACACTAATACCCTCATCAGATATCACATGGCTAAGGAATGCTACTGAGTTCAACCAGAATTCACATTTGGAGAGCTTAGCATATAACTTACTATCCTGAAGGGTCTGTAATACTATCTGCAAGTGGCCCGCATGTTCCGCCTCCAAACGAGAATACACAAGAATGTCATCAATGAATACGATCACGAACACGTCAAGATAGGGTCTGAATACACTATTCATGAGATCCATAAAAGTTGTTGGGGCATTTTTAGCGCGAACAACATCACCAAGAACTCAAAGTGCCCATATCTTTTTCGTAAGGCCGTCTTCGAGATATCCTTCTCCTTAACCCTCACCTGATGATGCCCTGAACGTAAGTCAATCATGAAGAAATACTTGGCACCCTGGAGTTGGTCAAACAGGTCGTCAATCCTTGGAAGTGGATACTTTTTCTTTATAGTAACCTTATTCAACTGTCAATAATCGATACACATCCTTAATGATCCCGTATTGTTCCGCACGAACAAGACTGGCGCACCCCAAGGTGAAGTGCTAGGCCTAATGAAGCCCTTATCCCGCCAGTCCTTCAACTGCGCCTTCAACTCTTGCAACTCTGCAGGGCCATCCTATATGGAGGGATAGAGATCGGTTGAGTGTCAGGCAACACATCAATGCTAAACTCAATCTCCCTTTCAGGAGGAAGGCCTGGGAGTTCATCTAGGAAAACGTCTGGAAATTCATTAACCACGAGGATTGATTGTAGAGTAGGCTGCTTCGCCTTCGCATTCCTAACACAAACGAGATGATAAATATGACCTTTTGAGATCATCTTCCTTGCCTTAAGATTTGGAAATAAACCTACCTTTCGGCGTAGCAATGTTCCCCTTCCATTCAATGACGGGTTCATCGGGAAACTGAAACCTAACCATCTTCGTACGGCAATCAACGTTTGCATAGCATGAGGCCAACCGGTCCATCCCCATTATCACATCGAAATCAACCATTTTTAACTCAAATAGATTCGCTGATGTTTGACGACTAAAAATCATCACTGTGCAACCTCTATATACCATTCTAGCAATCACAGAATCTCCTATTGGAGTGGACAGCGCAAGTGGATTACTTATCAATTCAGGTTTAACGCCAAACTTATTAGCCACAAAGGGTGTAACATATGATAACGTAGATCTCGGATCAATCAACGCATATACATCATAAGAAAACACAGACAATATACTTGTAACAACACCCGAAGACGACTCGAGATCCTGTCGACCTACTAAAGCATAGCTTCGATTTTGAGTACCACTCGAACTCAGCATTGCACCTCTACCACGACTTGTCGACTTTTGAAAACCCGTGCTGGAGGTCGAACTGATGAGGAAAAACCAGACATAGATCCAGTAGGCTAATCCATACCACCACCTCCTCTGTTAGGCCAATCCCGCATCATATGGCCAGGTTGTCTGCAAGAATAGCACGCATCAGAACCTAGACGGCACAGTCCAAAGTGGGCCTTGCCGCACTGATCACAACGGGGCATTGGGGGTCTCATCTGACTAGTATCCCTATGATATTACGAGCCTAATGCCCAAACTCTGACCTGGACAAGAATAGGTAAATCAATCGTACCGATGCCTCTGAAACTGTGGAGGAGCACTAGCTACAGGTGGTACCGAGCTCCTCAAAGACTGGGTCCTGATACTACCTCTGAAGTCACCAGAATACCCTGCGAATCTCGCCTTCTTATGTTGGCCCCTATCCTGCTCCCTATCTGCCCTTTGCTGGTGCTTACGATCCTCTAGTGTCTAGGCATAAGCCTGAATACGGAAAATATACATGCCCTCCACCAAAGAGGCGGTCGTGCACTCATTTATCAGATGTGGTCCCAACCCATTCACGAACAGGTGCACCCTATCGCTCATCTCGGCCACCATATGGGGAGCATACCTTGCTAAAGAATCAAACTGCATACTATATTCTCGCACACTCATATTACCTTGTTAAAGGTTCAAGAACTTATTAGTTCTAGCTCGTCGTATCTCAACTGGAAAGTAGTGACGAAGAAAGGCCTAAGAAAACTCCCTCCACACAGCTGGAGGAGCGTTCGGACCCCTGGATCTCTCCCAGCTATCATACCAAAAAACCGCTAAATCCCGTAATCGATAAGAAGCCAACTCTACCGCCTCAGTATCACTAGCGTGCATAACCCGTAGTGTACGATGGAACAGCTCAATAAAAGTCTGCGGGTCCTCCTTGGGGTCTGATCCTGTAAATACTGGAGGGTCTAGATTAATAAAATCACGAACTCTCACACTAACCGGTTTATCAGCAGCACCAATATTTTGCCTTTGAGTCTGAGCAGCTACCAATCTAGTCAACAACTGCACCGCACTGCGCATATCGTGGTTTGTAGTCCCAGACAGAGGAACTGTAGGTGATGTGTCCCTCCTAATATCCTCTAGAGGAGACGAAGTAGATGAGGTATGAGACGACATCTCACTCTGAGCCTCACTTTGGCCTGCTCTGGCTGGAGGCACCTGACCGGTACCCTCTCCCGCGGCTGTATCAAGCCGTCTGCTAATAGCTTGCTTCCTAGTCGAAGGCATCACTGAAAGAAAACAAGTTGAATATTAGAGATGAACACTTACGACTCAACTCTACGCACGATCTGGATTCAGGAAGAAGGTAACAACCCTAGATGTCATGTAGCCTCCTGATTATAAATGTGGCACGATATACATCCATAATCAAGACTCTACTAGACACGGATAAGAGACAACCCCTAGGACAGACTTGCTCTGATACCAAGTTTGTCACGACCCAAACTGGAGGGCCATGACTGGCACCCCGGCCATACCTGTTGAGCACCAACGTACATTTTATCTAACCTTTCTTATTATTTGTAAGGGCCGACGAGATCAACATAAATGGTAGAAATGAATAATGAACAACCAACAATGACATATAATGGCATGAACATACATAACATGGGCTGACAAGTCTGTCAAGGTACGAGCTGACAAGCTGCCATGAGAGACTATACAACTAAAATCAGCCGACACAGCAATCTAAACTATACATGAGTCGACACCTGTCTATGAGCCTCTAAAGGAACATAAGTGCTGCAACATTGCCGGAACAGGGCCCTGACATACCCATAATGTCTATAACAAAAGTGCATACCAAGACCACGACAAGCCCGAAAGAAGGGATCTCGCCAATAACTGCTGAACTGGGCAGCCTACTGTGGTGGGGAAGCTACGTCTACCTGTCTATCGGGACCTGCAGCACGACATGCAGCTTCCACAAATAAAAGGGACGTTAGTACGAATAAAGTGTCGAGTATGTAAGGCAGGAAGGCATAAATAAGAACAGTAATGTAAGCAGGGATAAAAAATATACAACCTCTAACATCCGAGTGCCTCTGAGGGCGACTGACATGAAATGCATGATATATATATATATATATATATATTCTGTGGGCATCATCATCATCATATCGTACCGGCTGTAATAGGCTCAGTAAAAATGTACCGGCCATCATAAGGCTTGGTAAAATCATACCCGGCCACATGGATCTTAGTAAAATCCAACTGATCAGTGGTTGCACAATATGTATCGTACCTAGCCAACTATAGTGCAGCTCGGTAGAGTAAAATAGGTACATATATATAATGTGTATTGGACTCATTGAAATCACATTCTGAACCTTTCGGAGTGAGGTAAGGTCGGTAACCTCCGTACACGTTGTTAGGACTAACTCTTCGTCATGGATATTATAAGAATCAGGAAGTACCAGCAACATTGATAACATAAGAATACGAGAAGTAACATCAACATCAATCGTTCCATAAGAAGGGAAACAATGTAAGTACTGCTAGCTTCTAAGAGTAGAGTATCTTTGGAAGCTCGTTCATTACATTATGTACAATCGAAGTCGTGCAAAAGAAGGAATGGGTAGTCATACATACCTTGTATATACTGCCCAACCTCAAGCTATGCAAATGTCACGACTCCTTAGTCTACAATAAGAGAAATGATACTATCGTTATCGTTTAAGCGTCGTAACTATTATATATCGACCGCAACCTATATTACGATGAAACGGACATCACTTCCCCTATTTATATGACGTCCCACAAGCTAAAAAAATCACCAAACAGCCAAAACAACATCAATAATAATCATTTTAAGCCTCCCAAAATAGTCCACCAACCAACAACATTACTAACTAGCCTTTCGATAGATATCTCACAAGTTCTAGCTTCAACGACCTAGACGCAACTTGGATAATCTTAAATACATGTAGAGTAAGAGGTTACTTACGTTTAAACAGATAGAAAAACACCAATTTGGCCTTACTTCACCACGAAATATCCTTCCAATGCTGCCACAAGAACAAGGAAGCGAAACTATCAATCAATTCGGCTTTTTCGACACTAGAATCACTTTGGAAGACTTGAAATCACCTAGGGTTGATACTAAAAACTTTAGAGAGTATTTTACAGAACTTAGCCACTTAAAACAACCTCCCACACGAGCTGGAACCACACAAAGATCAACAACAAGAAGAAGAACAGGAAACTTACTAGCACCACGGGATTCCCGACACTTGATTTGTGTTGTTTGCCCTTTGTTTGGGTCTTGGATCATGAGAAAACCTTGAGAGAGAGTTTTTTTTTGTGTCTAGGGTATGAAGAGAGTGAAAAAGAATGAGTTAAAATGGGCTTAGGGTGTCTCATATATATCAATATATCTCAACCGCCTATGTGGGCCCTATAGAGTGCTGCTTGCGTAGTCTCGCAAAAATGCGAGTATCTCTCTACTCTGACGTCGTATCGACGAACGGTTTAATGTGTTGAAAACTGGACTCATAGATATTCAACTTGGTGGGCAGATAACCCCGTAACTCCAAGTAAATTGGGAGAAAAGCTTAGTAACATTTGACCTAAAGTTTAAGTAAAATTATGAACGTAAGTTGCGACAACTTTTGTCGACTTTTGTTTCATAACTCGTTTGACGTCAAGACTTATGATATGATTCAAATACATTAAAACATGACCTCTTTAGAATATTAAGCACCTCTAGTTTTACCCAAAAATACGGGTTACAACATCCTTGATTCGTTTAACTTCTAATACTTGTTAACCACTCTTATACACCATTGTATCATTTAGGACCAATAGATGAACTTCTTATCATCTCAAAGATAATCTCTTCTCGAATTTATGTCGACTAACTTACGGCGTGATCTAACGTACGCGAATATGGGTTGTAACAAAAAATATGTGAAGGAAACTCAATGTGCTTAAGACTTATAATGCTAACATACATATTTAAAGTCTTGATTTCAAATGCTCTTATTGTTGATAACCTATGATGATGCTTAAAAGTGAAAGAAGTGGATATAAAATATAAAATGTGGCAATCGTGCCAAGTTTGAGAATTTCACTTGTGGCCAATAGAGCCAAATGAAATGAAGAGGACGTGTGTTAGACTATGAATTGAACTATAAAGCCTTTGTATAATAAATGATTTGGGAGTATCGTTTAGTCACCGAGGAAGGGTAGGTTGAAATAACCTAGCTCTGAAACTACACGTGTCAGTGTAGGAGTGGTTGAGGGGTAGAATTCCCGTATTGATGTGATGAGATTGTTCTCCTTAAATGGGATGAGATTGATGTGTTGAGATAATTCCCCTTAATTGGGATGAGATGATTGCTAGCAGAAAGTGATGTCGACCCATACGGCATTGTGGTGAGACGGCTTAGCCGATCCAGCTGAGATCGGACGCCATGCAGCATACATGGTGGCGTTGTGATTGGATGTCTTTGGGTGAGACGGCTTAGCCGGTCGGGCCGTGATCGGACTCCGTGCTAAAAACACGGTGGTATATCAGTACTAAAGATCTCCCAACCTAAAATATTGGAATTTTCTTGAAAACTTATCTTGCTCCTAAGTTGATGCTTTTTGTTTGAGGCTTTCATTGATCCTATGTTGTTTCTCGTTATACTGTTACTTGATTCTTTGAGAGGGTGTTTAGTCTTACATACTAGTACTATTCCGTATGTACTAACGTCCCTTTTGCCTGGCGCACTGCATCTTTTAATAGATGCAGGTGGTTCCACAGTAGGCGACATCGATCAGTGATAGCGGTACACCCTCTTCCCAACTGACTTAGTGAGCCCCACTTCATTTCGGGTCTTGTAGCTTTTGTTCCTTATGTATAATGTTTTGAGGTATAGCCGGGGCCTTGTTACCGGCACTATCATAGTACTTTTTTGTATCTGTTAAAGGCTCCGTAAACACAGTATGGGTTGTATATTGGTACGGGAAGTCAAACTGGAAATGTTGTATTTGTATCACATGTTCCACTTCAAACTATGAATGTGTAAGGTATTTTGAGAATTATAAATATAGTAACTAATAGTAATGAAATTGTATTGTTCACGTGATCCTCTCATTGTCTAATTAATGAAATACATCTTCACTTTATTCATGCATAAGTTCGGGTAGAAGGCACTGGATAGGCTTGCTTGACTGGGGCATCTCGGTTGAGCGCCGGTCGCGCTTCCCAGGATCGGGGCGTGACTAGCTGCTCTAGCCAATGTTTTTAATATTCCGGAACAACCTTTTTGTATCACAGTGCCGACCGGGCACAATGCTCCCTGTACTGTTACTTAAGTTTATAATATAAGCTCCTTTAGTTGACCAAAAAAAAAAACTATGAATTGATACTACCAGCAATTATCAGCAGGAAGAATGCGACATAGTGATTGTCTGTCATCAGTATTACTACATGGCAGATTACTTATTAGGGACAAACTAGCAATGTGGGGTGTGGTTGCTGATCAAAGATGCCTCTTGTGTAATACAGAGGATGAAAGCATATCTCGTATGTTCTTTGAACGTAAAGTCACCCAATTATATGGAACAAACTTCTCAGTTGGCAAGGCATACACAGTCAGGTAAGTCAATGGCAAGAGGAGATAAATTGGGCAATTGTAAACGCTAGAGGGAGAAGTGCTACAATTACAGGGTATAGGATGGGTCTAGCAAGATGCATATACCACATGTGGGAGGTGAGGAATCATAGGTGCTTTCAAAATACACAGAGGGACACGGGGGTTATCATCAGATAGCTTATTCAAGAACTGTTTCATAGAGGCAGTTCTAAGCCTAAATTTGAAGGAGGTTCAAACAAGTGAATTTCTATCCATAGAGCTAATTAACTGTTGGTCTGAGTTGCTTGCTAGCTAGAGTTGGGCATGTCGCCCAGGTACCAGCCAGTTTTTTGTTTTCTCTTGAGTTGTAATACACTTTGGTAAATAGATTTCTTTTATTTCCACAAAAGAAAAAGAGGGGGCCCTTTCTATGGTTTTAACAGGGTGCAAAAGAAAAAGAATAGGATTGAGCATAAATCGCAAAAAGAAAACACGTTAAGATCCAAAATGCAAAGAGCTCCAATATGTTCGGCATCTGAAAATGGATTAAAGGAAGAAGCCAAACTTGATCCCTTTCCAATGTTCGCGGTTAGGATTCCATTATCAAGCAACAGACTCCCTTCTAATTCATGAGACAACTAGTCTGCCTAGCTTCAAGTTACAAGATGGGCATTTTCTACTGCTTTATATTGTCAGCTTTACACTGTTTTTAGCCTGACCGTAACTAATCTGCAGAAATTGAGAGCAGTTAACTCGTGACCACAAAACACAAAATACTAAATCAGGACAAACTGATAGAAACTGAAACAAATGTCCACTAGAACAGAATGGACTTACTTCTCTAAGCATCAACAACCTGATGATACTTTTTTAATCCTACTAATGCTAATGGCACCAATTCAGCAACAACTAAAAGAAGACATCGTTGAATGGGTGATTTTCCTACCTTTGGGCTACCATGGGATTATCCGCACTGTTAATCATTCATTCACATAAGGTATTTTCGTTAATAGTCATCAAACTAAATTAAACACAATTCCCACTTCATTCATTCATTCACACCTAATTCATCCAATTCAAAATGTAATGAACCTCAATGGCTGCTACCACTGGAATTACTGCCACCAGATGATCTTGCATCCATGGATGGAACAGTAGCTGCATCATTTGGCTGCAGAAGCGGAAAAATGAAAGGTATAAAAATCTTTTGAATACTAAGTAACAAATAAAAGTGTAAGTTTGTTTGTTTAGTTCTTTTACAAATGAAGAACAAAAGTAAACCAACAACACCACTAACCCAAACATTAAAGAACTCGATTGTTACCGTTATAGGAGGAGAATCAAAAATCCCTGCAAATTGTTCAGGTATTTTCCCTTCCTTCATTATCATGTATGCTTTCAAAGCATTCATCAGTTGATTGTACTTATCTTTGCATTGATTGTACCTCTCTTGGCATTGATTGTACGCCTCCTGGCATTGATTGTACTTCTCTTGGCACTCATGAAAACATGAACCATCATTTATGGATGAAAAGTTAACACCACCAAGACAAAGTCTTTTCTGTCCACAACTACTGCTTGGAGCAGCTCCAAATCCCAGGCATCTCACCGTTCCAGGGTGCTCTTTTCCTAGCACTTTACCAACAAAATCATTTGAAGACACTTCATGCTCATCCGTGGTACTTTGTCTCAAAGCTAGCTCAACTTTTTTCTGAATAAAACATTCACATCCCATCATAAATTTGAGCAAAGAAATCTGCAACTACTAAGCAAATATAGGTCTATCACTTAATGCTGAAACACAAAAGAACAATGGTGGAACATGAACTAACAAACAGGAAGATACCTAATGCCTAGGACAATCATGAAATGGGGCGTAATCTAAATGGACAACCACAAGCCTATCTTATGGCATCAGCGTCAAGGTAGACGGTAATTCCATGTAACACAAATGGGCAAAGCTTTCAAACATGTGTTTCATTTCCTTTAGCTTCAGATTTTGGCTTTACTAGAAGCCTGAGAAGCAGCTGGATAATATATCTTATCGCACTAATCTTTTCTAATATAAAATACTTTTACATATGTTCTCCACAGAAACTTTGAAGGAAAACAAACCTGTTCTACGCGTATATGCTTAAGCTAATCAATGTTCAATTCTATCGTGTATCCTCATCTTAGAAGTGGTTTCCTCAATGTTTAACTGAGACCTTGGTAGGAATGGGAGACTCAAGATTGGGAGTTTCTACCTGCTTATATATATTTTCCACAGGCAAGAGTAAAACATTGAGATTCATTTACTAATGTCTTCAGGCTAAGGAGTGGTTTCGAGTTTTATCCATTTCGCGAGTAAATCAACTAGACTTTGACAAAATCCACTATGGAACACAAAATGTATAGCTACGATAGAACCAAAGGGCAGAATCCATTGTCGATAGATTTCCTATGTTTGTTTTAAGAGTTAGAACCAACAGAAACAACTTTTCTTGTTGCCTTCCTTTTTTCCTTTAATAACTTTTCCTATAGGGGAGGATTGGAAAGGGGGTTTAAGAAATGCTTATAGATAAAGAATAGGGAAACACATTTAGCACAACTGTTTTTCCAGTTAGGAAACAGCGCATAAGGGTTGGAAAAAGATTTGTATTTTGCTTTGCAATAGCCCCAGGAGAAAAGGACAAAAACATGTTTGAAAGCTTTGCCCATTTGTGTTAGATGGACTTTACAGATTGATATGGAGTTAATGCCGTCTGACCACCAGCTTTTCAGAGTGATAAATGGACCTTGGGCCTAACTCAACCCCAAAAGCTAGCTTATGAGGTGAGGATTGCCCAAGACCATGAAAGGAGACCAAGTACCTCAAATCCCACTGATGTGAGACAACTCAACACAGAATTACCAAAAGTGAAGGGAGAGAAGCATGGAAGATAAAGAGGCCAAGTGAAATTTCAGAGACAAAAATTGCTACTAAAACAACAAAGTAATACATGTAAAAACTTTTTTCAAGAAACACCAAAGCTTGGTACTAATAATATTTACTGATTCTATGACCGCCTATAACATAGCCTACAATTTATGGAATAAAATAGAAAAGCAGAGAAAGGTATGAAGTAGTAAATGCAATGCGCTGAATTCATATAGTAACTGGTTTAACGGTACTGGTTGCCTGGTAATAATTCCACAACTGAAGAGGTTAAGGTAGTGAGTAAAGAATACTGTTTTTGTGGCGGTGTTGTCTGGCATTTGTCAGATGATGTTTCTTGGAAAATCAAAGCACAAGGAAGAAAAAGTACAATAGTTAAATTGCATATTTGCCAACTGCAATGTGCCACTAATCTGTACCAAGTGTTATATAAAGTTCAGATGTAGTTCTGTTATTCATAAACAGAAGTAAATATAAATAAAACAAATGTTATAATGAAGAAAGGCACTGCAGACTTTGCATCATAATTGGAAGGCTACGGTACAATTCTCTTTCACTTAAGCCCTCCTAGGGGAACTCATCTGGGAAAGCAAGTGAAGAAAACAAAATAACAGATTCAGTATCATCACTAATGCCAGAGAGTACTGTAGGATATCCTGACACTTCCAAATCTAATTATTAAATAAATTACCAAATAGTGACATAGTAACAAGTCCCTGCCAACAACCGAATTACTCATAACACTTCCATGACAATGTAGGATATCTCATTCATTGCAAGATAGCAATTGGATTACCAGTGCATACTTTTCCAAGCACTAAAAGTATTTTGTCAATAAAAACTGATGTATCAGTAGACTACAATTGGCTTCAGAACATTGCAAGCTGATTTATGCAGCAAATACACTCCATTGTATACAACAGGTATATATTTTGATGATAGTTGATAGTTATGGGCTTACTGCACATCCTATTACCGTACTACTACCGTACTACAGAGCATTTTCATACAAAAACCACCTCTGCATTAGACTACAGAAGAAGGGCCGGAAACATCAAGGATACAGGCAAGTGGGATATCTTCTACATCAAAAAAAGAAATTATTGAGTAGAAATGTAACAGGGTATTCTCAAGATATTGCAATTTAGATTAAAGTGCTTTATTGGTTGGAAATCACTTGTTCTTAGCTGCAACTATTATTTGCACAGCTGATATACTATCGACAAAATTTTGTTCAAAGAGAACATTGGCATTGTTAAGCATATATTCGTTCAAGGATAACACATGTGTTCTCTTTAATGAAACCAAAACAGGTTGCATGCTTTCAAAAGAAAGATTAAACAAGAATATAACCTTAGAAGGAAAACATGTTGCACCATTGACAAATAACAACTTACACATATGCCTCTTGTCTCCTCATTAACATATGATTCATCTTGATTCTTATGAGTAGCAGGGTAAAGCTGTCCACACCTAGGCTTTTCTCCAGTCTCAACCGTCTATAAATGGAAAGAATGACTCATGAATAAAATAATTAAGCTACAAGAAATAGTTACAAAATGAGTAAGTTTAGTTATTAAAGTAAAACTAAAATAATTAACAGCTTCCACCATTTGAACCTTTCTTCTAAAGTTAGGTTCGGAGCCACCAGAGTGTGGATTTGTCCGTTTCTTCTGAATTTCAGCATCTCTAGAAGGATGCAAAACATTCCTTTCACCATGCATAACCCAAGTGACATAATTTTTAGGGAATGGCTTGCAAACCAAATGATCAAACACTGTATCTCTAGTTTGCCACTTCGCAAAACCACATTTCGGACATGGACATTTTATTCTATCTCGTACGTTCCCATTCTTAAACGCAAAATCTAGAAACTGATTCAAACCAAGCAAATATTTCGCTGTGTTCCTTGGCATTCCCATCCAAGATTTATCCATTGGAAAGTATTAAAGAACAGTATCTTTTTTCAAAAGCAGAGCTAATAAACCAAAATCAAATTAGTGTGCACCAACGAAGACTCTTCAGAGAACTAGTATCCAATATTCCAACATCAGCTACAAGATTTTGATGAGGAGGGAGAATGCAGTAACCTGTCAATGTTATAAGGATTAGAGACATATTTAACAACTTCATAAGCTAATACAACGTGAAGGCAAGTGAGAGAAATGTACATTTGTCTCTTTGAAGTTTTGGTTAGAAATGGAAAGACATTTTCATTTTTCATATTTAACAAGTTTCACATGCTGAACATATACAAAGCATTGCTTCCCAATAGCAGAAAGAAAGACCAATTATATGAAGTAGCTTCAAGTTAGTAAGAAGACTCACACATGCAACATCAACGGTTATACACTACACTCACACATGTTGAACAACAGATATAAAGCATTGCTTCACTTGTTTTTTGCCATAGTAGTCAAATAAACTCCTTCTTTGCAGGATTACATTGCAGAAATCACACATAATATATTTACACGGAAGAGTAGGTGATTGTAAAACGAGCAGCTCAATGTGATGTTGTAATGATTAACAAGATTGCTAGTTGAGCAGCGAGGAAAACAAAGAGCACTTTAGCCTTTTTGGTGGAGGATCTCTATCTCGATAGTGCCAAATAGAGATATTCGTTGTGCAACTATATTATAATTATTATCATGTACTGTACGCGGGATATAAGCAACAGTTTCATGGTTCAACATGTTGAAATCTAAAAGGTTGTACCCAGTATTATTCATTTCAGTATAAAAATAAAAATAACAAAGAATATCAGAATTTAATTTGTAAAAGAAAAATTAATCAATCATTCAACAATGTGCACCTGGAAAACTAGTACTATAAGAAGTAGAAACTAGAACCTTCTTGTTCGGTCTTTTTACTGCATTCCTGTTCATGCAAAGCGCGTTCAGTTAGTAATTTGGATAGTGGAGGAACTAGAAGGGTCAAAAACAAAGAAAAGGGGTTGATAGAGCAGCCTTGAGAAAAGAGAGGGAGGTAATGAAATTGTAAGGTCTGCACTACTTTTGGTACTTACTAAGCTGCATATACTTTTTTTAATCGCAAACATTTTGCTTAAACCTAATTTGTTTGTCTCACCATGTTTGTTCTTCTTTTCTAAAACCCCACATCTGACTCCAATAGCTCTTTTCTCTCAGTTTGTTGCACTTACACATGCAATATCAAGGGTTACAATGTACTATTACCAGAGATTAGTATGATTCTAAGGAGAAGGAAGGAATGCTTGCATGAATTAAAGACTCACACATGCAACATCATAAGAGTTATCTATGGAACATTCAGAAGGACGGAAACAGAAAGCGAAACATACCGAAGAACAATCATAAGTTTCAAATTGATTTTTAAATGGGAAGAATCGGAGGTTCTGCTACTAACTATGGTGCTGCTTATACTACACTAAGAAATCAAAGAATTAAAGGCGGAGAAACTTAAATAGGTTAGCTTACAACAGAAGCATTGCAATTCACGAAGCAGAGTTAAAGATTAATAGATAATTTAGGAAAAGAAATACTGAAATAAAAGGGAATCTTCAGTGACATGATGAAACTTTACCTTTTGAATTCGCCGTAAGCTGTGATTTCCAGGAAATAAATTGCTTTCTTTCTTTTGTTTCTGTAAGAAAGAAAATCTCAGCCCCAAATGTTTTTTTTTTTCTTTCCAAATGTAACAGACCGAAAAAAAAAAAAAAAAAAAAAGGTAGGGAAAACTGGCGCCTTTTCTTTTTCGGATCGTGAGATATTAACTTTCACAAATGTATAAATTGCGGAGAATAGAAATATTGCTTCAATTTGTTAGATTTAATACTAACTTAACCTCCGCAATAGAACTCTCAATATTTTTCATTTCTTAAAACTTTTTCTTAAACATGCAAGGTTGCTTATGCCAATAGAACTTCCAGAATTTCATCATTCTTTCTAAATTATGTAAATGTCAAGTGGAAACATGCTAATTATGGTAAAACTTAAGCTATAGATAGATTGTCGATTACTTTATGTTATTGACTTGGCTTAATGTTGCGACCAACCACACTTGTCGTCAAATAATAGAGTAGTGAGTAAAGTATCGTTCCCACGGAGACTTATGAATTTTTGATTGAATCAAACTCAAATAACTTATCAATTCAAGAGATTTTTCACAAAATGTGTGAGTGATTAATTGACTACTAAAGAAACTATCAAGCAATGAAATAACTAGAGATCGACTATAGCACTTAGGCAATTTTGGATAAAAATCAGTAGGAGAGGATATTCCAGGGTCATAGGCTAGCTAACAATCTTGTTGCGTTCTTGGCTTAAACTGACTAATTGATTTATCTAGTTTGTTGATTGACAGGGTTGATATTACTCATAAGAATCTTTTTTTTTCCTCTACTCATAAGAATCTATTGAGTTCGTACTCGCCTATTCAAGCTAACTTAATACCTATATGTCTATGGAATTAAGACTATCAAGAATGCATTTACACTTCCTGTATTTCAACCAAGCAAGGCAATTAGGTATATATCTATCCTAATTACGAATCTGTTCCCCGATGCCCGGGGTTCAAGAACTTGCTCTATTTAATCCTTTATGCAATCTAGAATTCCCACTTTCGAGTTCAACTCTAGATTCGTAGATAGTACTTCACTGTTAGCTACGCAGCAAAATAATTAAGAACAAAATTAAATAGACAACCCAAATATGATAAAATCAAACTCGTCAATTTAAACTTCAAACGTCATGACTCCAGAATAATAAGGTTCTTAGCCACTCATGTTCATACAATCATCTAAAATAATATTTTCAAACATAAAATCAATGAACACTAGAAGAAGAATGGAAGAATTGATCAAATCTGTGCCCCCGAATGTTTCGTACTTTTGTTCCTCTATCAAAGTCGTGTCCTCCTCCCCAAAATAGGTTTAGGTTGGCTTTTTATATGAGTTGGGGGCATCTCGTGGTCGAAATAGGACACCTTCATGTCACCAGCGTCCAGTGTAGTGTGGGGCGCTAGCCCTGGCACTGGGTTTTTTGAGCATTCTATTTTGTGCGCCACAGGTAGCGCCCCACGCTGCCTGTGGCGCTCAAATGTGCACTTTTGCCTTTTCTTCCCATTTTCGCTCCAATTCAAGCACCTTCATCCCAAATTGCATTCAGATAATTCCTACACATAAAATTACCCGAAATTAGCACAAATCATTATAGTACACATCTGAAATCTATGATACATGAGCAAAATATGAGGTAATATACACAAGAATATGCATACTTTAAGCCGAATATCAACACTCCACACTTAGACTCTTACACGTCCTCGAGCAATGGAACTATATCAACACCTCAAAACGTACACCTCACTATGAAAGGGCAATTCACATTTAATTCAATCACACACTCTACCTTTTGACTACGGTCGATACCGGCAATCAAGCATGAACACACAAATTTCACATTCTTCCCGTTTTTAAACTAGCCCAAGTATACACAATGCGATTCAACCAACTCAAACAACCAACCCGTCACCACCCTACCTAAAGAGTCGACTTGTTACCACTAAGCATCCTCAACTCGCGCACTCACCCAACAAAAGAAGTTTACAACATCACCAATCTGTCATGAGACTAAGTGCCCTCACAGCAAAGAGTGAATATAGAAGTAGCCCATACGTTCATATATGCCATTGAACATAAACTAAGGACATCACACTATTGAACAAAATTCCTCACTCTCACAAAGAATTCATGTGCATTTCGTGATTGTACCATAAGCTTGCCCGTAGTGTACATCTCTACTAATCTAAGCTAGCCAAATCTAAAATCAATTAGGACTTTAAGGTTGTAAATAGGTTAAGGGACGGCTATGATACATTTAGGAATAGTGACTAACCCTCCTAAGCACTTTAATACACTACACCTTACCATTCGAGCACATATTATTCTCAACCAATTCGCCCGCTACAAACCATATATAACATAGCCTTTTTTTTCAATTAAGCACTTGTATATCTCCACTACCACGAATTAGTAAGATTAGGAGGTGTGTGTTTCTCTACATTATTTGAACTACTATTTTTTTTCCTTTTTGCACTTTTGTTTTCTCCACACCCTCCATGCATTAAGGTTCTTTGGCTAGTGAACCTTTTTTTTCACAACTTTAGTGTACCTTAAAGTCTTTTCCATGGTTACACTCGAAAGCTACTCTCCAATTTCACACCTTACTTCTTCGACTAAGTTCCTCAGGAGGTAAAGGTTCAGCAATCTCAAATTAAAAACAAAATAGGGATACAACTTGTAATGTTGGTGCCAAAGAAAAGGTCTACAGGCTCAAAGGGGCTAGCAACGGAAAGATTTTATTTGTGAGTGACAAGCACCTATATGATCAATCAAGAAACACCTACGTCATCTCTTAGACTAGCAAAACTTAATGATTTCGCTTCGACTAACACACGGCCAAGTTCTAGACTACACAGGATAGCACAGAATATCACAAATCCTTACACACATTGCACATGACTCAATCAAGACGGTTATGTTCGACTCTCAAGTCAAGCAAGCATAGCTAGTTGAGAATTTTTAAGCAATAATGCACTAGATGGCATACAAGTCAAACAACTAAGAAAAAGGCATCACAGAGTAGGCTACTTAATTTACTTGGGCATTACAATTCAAATCAAATATTCAGGAAAAAACAACGCATGCCATAGCTTAATGTGCTAGCATCAGACATGTCAACAGGTACTCAGAACACCTCAGTTTTCTTCCTATCCTACTCCTAAAAAAATAAAAAATAAAAATAAAACACCCAGTTCGAGCTAGACCCTTGGAAAAGAACCGGCATCCAAAGGAAAACCAAGGGATACTACCTAACTATCCTACCAAAAACAAACAAAAATCTTTTTGGTATTTTTAATCGGACTTTAATCCCTCAAGAAAATTATCCAGCGGATCCATCGTCGGGAAAAGTCAAAGCTTTTCAATTTTATTTTATGATACAAACTAAGAAGATTATGTGAGTTCTAAACTAAGCTAAAACAAGTTAAAAAAAATCTATACAATTGCAAGTCAAGAAGTATTTATCCCACCCCACACTTAAATGATGTATAGTTCCCGATGCACAAACAAATTCAAAACAACGTAAGGTGGAAAGAAAGAACTCACTGCTAGTCAGATTCCTCCTCAGAATACCCACCGGTCGCAGCTCCGGGCTCATCATCATCATCCTCTTCGAGGGGCACCAAAGCCATGGGCCCCGTGACTTCATCGTCAACCTCATCCTCATCATCAATCATTTGTATATGTTCTCATCCTTAGATGGGTAAATGGGACTGCCTGGTGCAATTCCCAATATCTCCTCGGAAGAACTAGAGAGATCACTGCGTAGATGCATACGCTCCTCATCCGACACCTCTAGACTGCTCATTATCCAAAGAAGAACCTTTTGATCATTAGACCAAAGCGGGTGTGGGCCATCTCTCCTAGAATGATCTCACCCACATTTATGGTTGCCCAGTCATCTGAAGAATATCACACACTCTCGAGCTCGAGTGCATTCACTGTTATGCTTAACGGGCATCAATCTAGCATGCACAAAGTTTTGCCATACCTTGGTTATCTTGTTGAAGTCGAAACGGAGCATTTCAAGGTGGGCATCTCCCTTAGTCCGTGTCCACTTCGCATTAGAATCAATGCCATAAAGAGTGTGAATTGTCTGTTAGTGTGGGCTTTTGACGAACTTTTGTAGCCTCCATGCATTAGGGCTATCAACTACCAAAATTTCACACAAAGATTTCCTATCCATTGGTATCTCCTTTCCTCAGACCTATGACTGGAACAAGTCCGCATTCCAATTGGCGTATAGCTCTCGCACCATGCTCAAATTTGTAGGGCCCGGGCATTCTATGAGTTTATCCATCTTCCTCTACCAACCGGACAAGCACATCCAGGAAGTTCTTTTCTAGAGCTTTTACATCCCCATTTCGGAGACGTATCTCCCACAAGGCACAAAGTTATTATGCCATTTGATAGCATCGTCTCGAGCTAGATCCACCCGAGGCCGTAGGACCGATGTTGCCCTCGTCGACCTGCTAGCAACCTGCTTTCCCTTAGCTTGCCGAGAAGAACCTTCACCCTACTTGCATTTTTTGGGAGGGGAGCAGTAGTGGAGGACTTTCCCACTCCTTTTCCTTTGGCGGCACTGTCACGAGCCATAGCAACCTACACACGATAAATACAAAAGTAAGAATGAATCAAAAAATTCACCCAAGGTCATTGTGGGAGGCAAAGATGACCCCACACTTAAAACCGAAGGCTATGTATAATCTACTCACAATAGTGGTTCAAAGTTCACCAATGTTTCGTCACGAGGCGATAGGTACTCAATGCCATACAATTCAAGTAGTCGAACATGGCCATAACTTAGTCGTAGTACAAGCAAGCAATGCTAGAGTCCAAATTACTACAATTAATAAAGTACACTAACTACAACTTACAAAAGCCTACAAGATACATGACCCCCAAACACCCCACAGGTTTCCCAATATCATATACAACTACACTTGGCTACTTAGAATTCACCGGTATTCAATTCACTCTTTAGGCATTTTAGCAAACACATTGTGGACATCAATTTTGCATCTCTTATTTTAACAATGGTGGAACAAGGTGGCCCTCCCAAATTTAAATGAAGTAGAGGGAGTTGTAGTTAACTACTTCATATACAACTTCACAACCAATATTTGCAACCAATTTCATGCACATTAGGGCCACCCACCATAACAACAAAACATGTCAAAGAGACCTAGGGGATTGGGGGTTGTTTGAGAAGGAGGACTAGAAATACACTAAGAAATTGCAAACTATAAGAAAAGAGATAACAAGAAGAACATACTTTTGAGTCTTGAGATGAAGGTGAGCAACAAAAATGGGGGACTTTGAGAGTTAAAGAGAGAC